TATAATAAACATCAATATAACCTCGGAAATAAGACCAGTTATATATAAAAGAAAAAAACGAATTTAAATTTTTTTCTAATGAAAATTCAATATTTTTTTCTAAGTTTTGTGGAAATAATGAAAAAGGTCCATATAAAATAAAAGCAATAAAAATACCACTAAAAACAACACTTAACGAATTAATAGCATTTAATCCAAATTCTAGCCAATTTCCAGAAGTTATTTCCTCAGCGGACTTAAAGACTGGATAAAGCCATTGAGATAATAAATCAGATCCAATTTGTCCTTCCGGAAAAGGCGCACCTAAAAAACCAATAAATAAAGTAGGTAAGGTTAAAACTAATAAAGGAAATAACATTTTATTATCTGATTCTTTAGGATATTTTAATTTTTTAATATCTGAAAAAAAAGATAAATTATCTGTTTGATTTTCATTTTGATCTGTTTCAAAAAAGATATCGTATTTATTTAAAACAAATTTATTTTTATTTGAATTTTTTTTATTTAAATTTAATTCTCCCCATATTGATACAGGATAAGTAAAAGCGACTTTATTTAAATTTACTCTCAAATCACCTTCAAAAGTTAAAAAATAAATACGAAACATATAAAAAGCTGTTAATCCTGCCGTAACTAAAGATATCGAGCCAAGAGTAGAAGAATATAACCAACTATCTGTAATAATTTCATCTTTCGACCAAAAACAAGCAAATGGAGGAATACCACAAAGAGAAAATGTACCTAAAAGAAAAGTTATTCCTGTAATTGGCATATATTTTCTTAAACCACCCATAAAAGCCATATTTTGACATTTATTAGGAGAATATCCAACTATTGATTCTACAGAATGAATAACAGATCCCGATCCAAGAAATAATAAAGCTTTTGAATAAGCATGTGTAATTAAATGAAATAATCCAGCTTGATATGAACCTATACCTAAAGCCAGCATCATATAGCCTAATTGAGACATAGTAGAATAAGCTAAACCTTTTTTAAGATCAGTTTGTGCAAGAGCTATCGTAGCACCTAAAAATGCAGTTATTGCTCCTACCCAAGAAATGATAGTCATCACAAATGGCAATAGCTGAAAAAGAGGAAACCATCGCGCTACTAAAAAAATACCTGCAGCGACCATAGTTGCAGCATGTATTAAAGCGGAAATTGGAGTCGGTCCTTCCATAGCGTCCGGTAACCATATATGCAATGGAAATTGTGCAGATTTTGCTATTGGACCTAAAAATAAAAGAAGAGCACAAAAGTTAGCAAAATATAGATTAACTTCATGATTAATAACCAAATCGTTAAATCGTTTAAATAAAATTTCAAATTCAAAACTACCTGTTATCCAATAAAAACCCAAAATACCTAGTAATAATCCAAAATCTCCTATACGATTTGTTACAAACGCTTTTTGACACGCATTAGCTGCACTCGGTCTAGTAAACCAAAAACCTATTAGTAAATAAGAACACATTCCTACTAATTCCCAAAAAATATAAATTTGGATCAAATTAGGACTAAGCACTAAACCTAGCATTGAAGCAGTAAAAAGACTTAAATATGCAAAAAATCTGACATATCCTTGATCATAAGACATATAACTATCGCTATAAATCATAACAAGAACTCCTACAGTAGTAATTAAAACTAACATAATAGAAGTAAGAGGATCAATTAAAAACCCTATTTTAAAATCAATTTTATTATCAAAAATCCAAGACCATAAATATCGATAAATAATATTATCATTAATTTGTTGCCATAAAATATTAAAAGAAAAAATCATGGCTATACTTAATAATAATATACTAAAAATGGCCCATATCTCACGAAGACTTTTAGTTGATTTTGGAAAAAAAAGCAAATTTACTCCTATTAAAATAGAAGCTATAAATGGAAAAAAAGGCACAATCCAAACAAATTGATATATAAATTCCATAAATAAATTTTTTATATAATAAAAAATCTTATTTTTTTTTAATTTCTAGTTTATAATTAACTAAATTAATAAAAAAAAAATAGACTTAAAAGAAAGTAAGAAAAAGTCTAGGATTTTTATCCTATTTATCAAAAATTTTAACTAAAATTACCTTATAAATTTTATTTTTTTTATAAATTATTAAATAAAAAATAAACAAATTAAAATATTTTATTTTTATTTATTATTATTAAAGTAATAAGATATTATATATAGTTTCTGAACTAAAAATATACATATTTTTTAAAGAATATTATTAAATTTTTTTTTATCAACGTTTTACAAAATTTAAAATAATTACTTTTAATTATTTTATTTATTAAACTTCAATTAATTTTTTTTTTCAATCTATAATAATTTTTTCCATTTAAAGTAAATTCCATAATAAATATGTACGCTATAATTGAAACCGGAGGTGAACAACTCCGTGTAGAACCTGGAAGATTTTATGATATTCGTCATTTTGCTTCATTAAAATCAAAAAATTTAAGTTCTAATACAAAAATATTAATTTATCGAGTATTAATGATTCGTAATGAAACTACTATTAATATTGGACAACCCTGGCTAAAAAATGCAGTAATCAAAGGAAGAATTTTACATTCTCATCTTGAAAATAAAATTACTGTTTATAAAATGAATTCAAAAAAAAAAACAAGACGTAAATTTGGACATCGACAAAATTCAGCTCGATTTGTAGTAGATTCAATTTGTTTAGATGGAAAAGATTTATAAAAATAAATAATATATATATAAATAAAAAATTTGAGAATAAAAACTAAAATATAATTAACAGATTTAACTTAAAAAAATCTACAATTGAAAGGAATTTTTACTTATGGCAGTTCCAAAAAAACGTACTTCTAAATCAAAAAAAAAAATTCGTGAAACAGTATGGAGAGAAAAAGCCAATCAAGCTAGAATAAAAGCTTTTTCATTAGCTCAATCTATTTTAACAGGTCGTTCAAAAAGCTTTTATTACACAACAACTGAAAAAGATTCTAATTTATCAGAATAATTTAATAAATTAATAAAAATTATAACCTACAATCATATATATAAAAAATATACTTCTTAAAAACTTCAATAAAAAAAAAAAGAAATTTATTATTTATTAAAAATAAAACTTAAAAAATAATTAACTTAAACAATGCATTTTTTTTGTGAAAAAAAACAGAAATCTAAATATATAAATTGAAAAAAATATTTAATAAAAAAATAGATAGTTTCATTTAGTTAAAAATAAATGGAACTATCTTAAATATAAAATAAAAAAAAGTAAAAATCTTATAATATTTTTTGGAGCAATGGGATTTGAACCCACAATCTCCATCATGTTAAGATGGTATATTACCAAAGTTAGTTTATGTTCCATTAAAGGAAAGTAAATTTTTCAAAAAGTTTAATTAATATTAATTAATATAAAATATTATATATAATATTTTATTTTAGAAAATAGATTGACCTTTTAATATAAAGTATGTTATATTAATTTTCAATAAGCCGCCATGGTGAAATTGGTAGACACGCTGCTCTTAGGAAGCAGTGCTAGCGCATCTCGGTTCGAGTCCGAGTGGCGGTATTTAAAAAAAAAAATAGAAAAAACTTTATTAAAAATTTAATCTTATAATAATTAAAAGTTGAAAAATTAATTAAATTAACTTCAAATAGTTAAATGATATAAAAATATTTTCTCAATTTAACTATTTGAAATAAATTTAATTTCATAAATAAATAAAAAATTTATTACAATAAAGTTTTAATGAGATTAAAGATTATTTTTTGATATAATTTTAAACAATAAATTTAGATAAAATAAAACTTACTTTACTGTTCCATAAAGACAAAACTGAATTAGGATAAAGACCAATACCTACAATAGGAAAAATTAAACAAACTAAAATGAAAATTTCACGTGGACCTGCGTCCATATTAGAATTAGAAAAAGTGGTAAACTTAGAAAACTTATATCCATAAAACATTTGGCGTAGCATTGATAACAAGTAAATAGGGGTTAAAATTATTCCAATTGCTTCTATTATTGTAACAAGTATTTTAAAATTAAACGAATATTTGTTACTAACAACTATTCCTAAAAAAACTAAAAATTCTGCTACAAATCCACTCATGCCAGGTAATGCTAATGATGCCATTGAAAAACTACTAAACATAGTGAATATTTTAGGCATATAAATAGCTGTTCCTCCCATTTGATCTAAAAATAAAGTACGTGTTCGATCGTAAGTTATTCCAGCTAAGAAAAATAGTGCAGCACCAATTAATCCATGAGAAACCATTTGTAAGATAGCGCCATTAAGACCTACATCTGTCATAGAACCAATACCAATAAGTACAAAACCCATATGTGATATTGAGGAATAAGCAATTCTTCGTTTTAAATTACGCTGACTAAAAGATATAAGAGCTGCATAAACAATTTGAATTGCTCCTACTGCAACTATCCATGGTGCAAAAATAGAATGAGCATGTGGTAATAATTCCATATTAATTCGAATTAATCCATATCCTCCCATTTTTAAAAGTATTCCAGCTAAAAGCATACATGTACTATAATGTGCTTCTCCATGAGTATCTGGTAACCAAGTATGTAAAGGAAATATCGGTAATTTTACAGCATAGGCAATAAAAAAACCTAAATATAATATAATTTCTAATTCTAAAGGATATGATTTATTAGATAAATTTTGGAAATCTAATGTTAATTGATTAGAACCATAAAATCCCATAGTTAATGCTCCCATTAAAATAAAAATGGAACCACCAGCCGTATATAAAATAAATTTTGTAGTAGCATATAATCTCCTTTTACCTCCCCAGATACATAAAAGTAAATAAACTGGAATTAATTCTAATTCCCACATAAAAAAGAAAAGTAAAATATCTTGAGATGCAAATAATCCTACTTGACCACTATACATTGCTAACATTAAAAAATAAAATAATCGTGGGTTTCGAGTAACGGGCCAAGCTGCTAAAGTAGCTAATGTAGTAATAAAACCTGTTAATAAAATAAGTCCAATCGAAAGTCCATCAATACCTAATCTCCAATGAAAATCTAAAAAATCAATCCAATTATAATCTTCTTTTAATTGAATAATTGGATCATCAAACTTAAAATAATAACAAAATACATAAGTTATTAAAAGAAATTCTAATAAACAAACACCTAAGGTGTACCATCGAATAAGATTATTTCCTTTATTAGGGAAGAATGGAATTACACAACCTGCAAATACAGGTAAAAGAACAATGGTAGTTAGCCAAGGAAAATTACTCATGATAAAAATAAAAAAACTTTAAATAAAAAAACCCATACTCAAAAATTTGAGTATGGGTAAAAAAAATACTTAAAATTTTTTTTTTTCTTGGTTAATAAGCTAGACCCATACTACGAGTAGTTTCAGCTCCCAAATAAACACGTACACTTAAAAAATCTGTTGGACAAGCAGATTCACATCTTTTGCAGCCTACACAATCTTCTGTTCTAGGAGCAGAAGCAATTTGACTAGCTTTGCATCCATCCCAAGGTACCATTTCTAATACATCGGTAGGACAAGCTCTTACACATTGAGTACAACCAATACATGTATCATAAATTTTTACTGAATGTGCCATTAAATTTTTAAACTCCAATATATTGTTAAAAGCCTTAAATTTAGTAAAATTATAATAATAGTATTATTATATAAATTTTTTTTTTTAATTAAAAACTTTATTGAATTAATTGAAAAATAATCTATAACTAGAATATATTTTTTATTAATTCAATAAATTAATTACCATTTTAACAAATTAAATTGATCAATACGAGTTGAATTTTTATTACGATAAATCGCTAAAACAATAGCTAGTCCAATAGCTGCTTCAGCAGCCGCAATCGCTATAATAAAAATAGCAAAAATTTCACCTTTTGCTTGTTGAGTATCAAAAGAATTAGAAAAAGTTATAAGATTAATATTAACAGCATTAAAAATTAACTCTAAACACATAAGTGCTCGGACCATGTTTCGACTTGTAATTAATCCAAAAATACCAATGCAAAATAAATAAGCACCTAAACTAAGTATATGTTCAAGCATTAAAAGCAACTCCTTATAACAGAAAAAAGTTAAAAAGTTGTAGGACTTTTTTTTATTTGTAAAACTTTTTTTTTATTTGTTTCAATCAAATTTTCTCGACGAGCTATAACAATAGCGCCTATTAATGCAACTAAAAGGACGATAGAAAGAAGTTCAAATGGAAGCAAATATTGGGTTAATAAAAGAGAGCCAATACGTTGAACATTTTGTGTAAAATTTGATTCTAAAAAACCTTTTGATTCTGTAATTACAGTAATATTAGACCATGACGTATTTAAAATTATATTTACTAATAAAAAAAAACTAGTTAAACAGATAGCTAACGTAATTTTATCGCCTACAGTCCAAACTGGAAAAATTTTTAAAGACTCTGGTTTATTAATTAACATAACAGCAAATACAATTAAAACATTTACAGCTCCTACATAAATTAAAATTTGTGCAGCAGCTACAAAATCCGCATTTAATGCAAAATATAAAAGAGATATACAAAAAAAAACTAGCCCTAAAAAAAAAGCTGAATATACAATATTACTAAGTAATACTACTCCTAAACTTCCTAATATTACGCCTATTTCTAAAATAAAAAAAATAATTTCTTGAAGCGGCCCGAATAATTCAATTATATTCACAATAAATTCAAATCCTTTTTTATTATTCTTATTTGCTAACTAAAAAAAAAATTATAGATATTTTTTTTTACTATTTCAAAAATTTGTAACATTTCTTGAATTAGAATGTCCTTCTATACTTCCTTTAGATAAATAACTTAAATTTGAAATAGTTTTAATTGTAGAATCTTCAATTACAGAAATAGGTAATCGTCCTAAAGCAATTTGATCATAATTTAAATCATGACGATCATAAATTGAAAGTTCATATTCTTCAGTCATAGATAAACAATTTGTAGGACAATATTCAACACAATTTCCGCAAAATATACAAACTCCAAAATCAATACTATAACTTTTCAATTGTTTTTTTTTTACATCTTTTTTTAATTCCCAATCAACAACGGGTAAATTAATTGGACATACACGAACACATACTTCACAGGCAATACATTTGTCAAATTCAAAATGAATACGTCCACGAAAACGCTCAGATGGAATTAACTTTTCATAAGGGTATTGAATAGTCATTGGTAACCGGTTCATATGATCTAAGGTTACCATAAAACCTTGACCAATATACCGTGCAGCTTGTATTGCTTGTTCACTATAGTTTCGAAATCCATTTACCATAGTAAACATATGATAGATATCCTTATATATATATATTTTTCTATTTTTTATAATAAAAAAGCTTGAAAAGACGCCGTTAATAATAAATTACCTAGCGCAATAGGTAAAAGAAATTTCCATCCTAGATCCAATAATTGATCCATTCTTACTCTAGGTAAAGTCCATCTTGTCATAATAGCAATAAATGAAAATAAATAAGATTTAATTAATACAATAATAATTCCTATTATTATGTTAATAACTTGATTACTTCCATGGCTAAAAACCCACTCTAAGTAATTAGAATTTAATAAAAATGGAATTGAAAAATGCCATCCACCTAAATAAAGAATTGTTACAAATAATGAAGAAGCTAATAAATTTAAATAAGAAGCAACATAAAATAATCCAAATTTTATACCTGAGTATTCTGTTTGATAACCTGCAACTAATTCTTCTTCCGCTTCTGGTAAATCAAAGGGTAATCTTTCACATTCTGCTAAAGAGGCAATAAAAAAAGCTAAAAAACCTATAGGTTGACGCCATACATTCCATCCCCAAAAGCCATATTTTGCCTGTGCTTCAACTATATCAACTGTACTTAAACTATTAGATAATTATAGTCGATTTAACATTTCTGTTAATACCTCTATTTCAAAACCGTACATGAAACTTTAACGTCATACGGCTCCTCAATGGTTATTTTAATAAAATTATTCTTATTATTTTTTATTTAACCCACGAGATTCCGTTTGCTATCATAATAAATGCTTTTGAATCTATCTTAGCCTTATAACATTAATTAAGTAAAAAAAAATTATAATATTTTTTTCTTTAGATTTGTAAAAGGATTACTTCGTTCCTAATAGTCATACTGTTTTAATAAATAGGGGTGTATACTTTAGATTGATTTGATAAGGAAATACTTTTTGAGCATTTCTACTAATGCTAAATCCTTATTATATATATTTTAATAAATATTATCTATAAAACTTATTTTTTTACTAATCTATTAGGTATTTTTGTGTTTCTAACCATTTATTTTTGCTCGATTTTACATATGGTATAAATCCATATGCATTTTCTTTTGCTCCCGCTATCAGGCTTAATAATTAAATTGCAACCTGGGGTACCTTTTTTTCTTTGTTTTGCATGCTTTCACTCTTGTATATAGAGGATGGGATTAAATTTTGTTACTGCAGATTGAAAAGCTGTTTTATTTTACCCATATGACTATTTAGTTTTTTTTAGTTAAAATAAGAAAAACTTATTTCCTAAAATGAAAATTTATTTTAACGAATCACACGTAGAGATATAGATAATACACATAAAGCTAATGGAATTTCATAACTAATAGATTGAGCTGCCGCTCGAAGACCACCTAAAAATGAATATTTATTATTAGATCCATATCCTGCCATAAGAAGACCAAGAGGAACAATACTAGAAATAGCAATCCAAAAAAAAACACCTATATTAAGATCAGCTAAAATAATATTGTGACCAAAAGGAATTACTAAATAACTTAAAAATACTGGTATAACAACTATTGCTGGTCCAATATTAAATAACCAATTATCTCCTTTAGAGGGAATAATATCTTCTTTTAATAATAATTTAAAGCCATCTGCTAAAGCTTGAATTATTCCTAAAGGACCAGCATATTCAGGTCCAATACGTTGTTGTATTCCTGCCGATATCTTTCTTTCAAGCCAAACCAAAACTAATACTCCTATTGTAATTGTTAATAAAAGAATAAGAATTGAAAAAGCAATCCAAATAAAATTAAAAAAATCTTTAGATAAACTTAAAGCAGAAAAAAAAGTAATAACTTGTTCTTTAAGATTGGTATTAAAACCCATTTTAACGATCAACCTCTCCCATAATAATATCTATACTACCTAATATTGTCATAATATCTGCTAATTTCATTCCTTTTACTAATTGAGGAAGAATTTGCAAATTAATAAAACCTGGTGGACGAATTTTCCATCTCCAAGGAAAAACACTATCATCTCCTATTAAAAAAACACCTAATTCTCCTTTAGGAGCTTCTACTCTAATATAATGTTCTTGTTTAGGTAATTTAAAAGTAGGAGAAGGTTTTTTACTAATAAACTGATATTCAAAATTATTCCATTCTGATTTTTTTCCTCGCTGAAGTCGTCGAGCTTCTAAATTTTCATAAGGCCCTCCAGGAATGGATTTTAATGCCTGTTGAATTATTTTTATTGACTCTTTCATTTCTCCAATTCGGACTAAATAACGAGCTAATGAATCTCCTTCTTTTTGCCATTGTATTTGCCAATCTAATTCATCGTAACACTCGTAATGATCCACTTTTCGAAGATCCCATTGAACTCCTGAAGCACGTAACATAGGTCCAGATAAACCCCAATTTATTGCTTCTTCTTTTCCAATAATACCTATTCCTTCTACTCGTTTTAAAAAAATAGGGTTATTTGTAATAAGTCTTTCATATTCATTGACTTTTGGTAAAAAATAATCGCAAAAATCTAAACATTTATCTATCCAACCATAGGGTAAATCTACAGCAACTCCTCCAATACGAAAATAATTATGCATCATTCGCATACCAGTAGCCGCTTCAAATAAATCATATATCATTTCTCTTTCTCTTAAAATATAAAAGAAAGGAGTTTGTGCACCAATATCAGCCATAAAAGGTCCAAGCCATAACAAATGAGAAGCTACACGACTTAATTCCAACATAATCATTCTGATATAACTAGCTCTTTTTGGAACTTGAATATTTGTTAATTTTTCCGGTGCATTTACAGTTATAGCTTCTGTAAACATTGTAGCTAAGTAATCCCATCGCGTGACATATGGAAGATATTGAACAATTGTTCTATTTTCAGCGATTTTTTCCATACCTCGGTGCAAATAACCCAGTATAGGTTCACAATCAATAACATTTTCCCCATCTAAAGTAACTATAAGTCGAAGAACACCATGCATTGATGGATGATGAGGACCCATACTTACTATCATGGGTTTTGTTTTTGTAGCAAGCATGGTCATATATGACGCTCCTTTTCATTCATTATAGGAAACTAGTTAAAAATAAAAACATTAACGATTTTTTAATTTACGAATATTTAATTTATTTATTAAAGTTTCATAACTTGTTAAATTTGTTTTTGATAAATAACTTAAAAGACGCTTACGTTTTCCTAATATTTTCAATAAGCCTCTTTGGGATGAATAATCTTTGTCATGAAATTTTAAATGATCAGTAAGTTTTAAAACTCTATTGGTTAAATGAGATATTTGAAATTCTACAGATCCTGTTTGTTCTTTTGAAAGTAAAGATGATCCAATAAATAGTTTTTTAGACATAAAAATAATAGCTCCTAAATTATATTATTTAAAAATAATTAATAATAGATTATAGTTAATTAATAATTTTTATTATTATTATAAAGAAAAAAAAAAATAAAAACTTAATAAAAAATTAAAACAATGAGAAATTATTGGTTATAACCAAAAATTTCTCAATAAAGAAAAAAATTAATAAAAAAATTAAAGTATTTTATAAAAAAATTAAGTATACATACGAATTCTTAGCATAGTAAATCGACTTCCATTACTTGTATTAAACCAAAATCTATTAACACATGCTAAATCTTCTAATCGAAAAGTAGGCCAAAGAAAATGCTTAATTGTTAAATTTTGATTTTTATTTTGAATTTTGTTTAATTCAATTCGTTTTCTTTTATTTTCTTTTAAAATTACTTTATTAAAATTTAAAATTTGATTTGTATTTTGTTTTAAATTTAAAAGATTTAATACTTTTAATTCTTTTCGATGTTTTAAAAGCATAATATCTTCTAAATTAATTAAATTAAAGTTATTGTTTTGATTATTATTTTGAAAAAATTCTATACGTGATGTAGATAAATTAAAGTTTGTTATATTTACATTTTTTTTAAATCTGTTTTTTGATTTCAAAAAAAGACTTATTACTTTGTACATTAAAATTTGATCATCAAGTACACGTGGTAAACGGTGTTCTGAATTAATTGTTAATTTATTTACGCCTACATCTCTACAAAACAGAAGACGAAATAAATCTAAGTTTTCACGCATTTTAGCAGAAAGAGAAACACTATTTTCTTGATCTTGCATAAAAGTCATAAGAGAAGCCATATCTCCTAATTCTTTGAATCTTTTTTCTATATTTTTTGATTTCCATTTCCATTGACGAATAGTTTCATGGCGTTCTCTTTCTCGAAGAGTTTTTTTATTTCGACTATTCTTTTTATTTTTTTCTTTTAGCAACGAAATGTTATTTCTATTTATTGTTTCAATTTTATTTATATATTTTTTTTCTGTAAGTGTTGGAATTAGCCATAAAATTAAATTAGATTTTAGAGAAATATCTTGTTTATAATTATTATTTACTTGATTTTTAGATATTTGTAAAATTTCATTATTAAATAAACTTTCTTTTTTATTTTTTGTTGATTCTAGAAAATTTGGTTGTTTTTTAAAATCAAGATAACTATAGCATAAATAGTTATATTTATATCTTTTACTTATTTTTCTATTTTGCTCTAATAAAGAATCTATAAATAATTTGTAAAAAAACGTTTTTTCTTTAGATAAAGTTAAAGCTTTTATTTGTTTTTCTGAAAATTTTAAATTATTTTGTTCTTTTCCTTTCCATTGATAATTAATCTGATTTCTCCATTTTTGTGGTGCTAGTTTGTACCATACTTGGGAAGATAAATTATATTTATTAAAATTTTGTAACCAATTTTTCCAATTTTGTTCTTTTAAAAATTTAAGATCCATTTTTTTCAAATTTCGATTTATTTTTTTTTTAATAACTGAATTTGATGTCCAATTTTTAAGTAAATATTTAAAATCACATTTATTATTTGTTTTTTCTATTTGCCAAATTTTATGAAATAAATATGCTTGAGACATTAATAAAATATTTTCTTGATTAACATTAATTTTTAAACTTTGTATTTTTTCACCAAAATCATTTGAATATTTATAATTAATTTTATCTTTTTTCTGATTAATTTGAGAAACTTTTAAAGGATTCCAAATTTTTCGATTTTTGATTAAAATTAAGTTTTGTTGAATTTTACTTATTAAATTAATATTAAATCGAATAATATTAATAGAAAATTGAAAAAAGTTTTTATTTATTTTATTAAAATTTAATTTGAAAAAATATGACCATTTGTTTACTAATGAAATATTTTTTTTATAATATTTTATAAGTTTTTGTTTATTTTCAATTTTTTTTTGTTTATTAGTGAAATAAACTTTGTTATCGTTATTTAATTTATTAAAAAATTCTATTTTATCAAAATTAATTTTTTTAGTTATTTTTTCAATTTTAGATTTTTTTAAAAATTTTAAATTTTCTAATTTTTGTATATTGGTTGAAATTTTATATTTATTTTTAATTTGATTTTCAGATAAAATAGTTTGGCTAAATTTAGATGAAATTTGCTCTGGTAACTTTTTATTGTAATTTTTATTAGTTAAATTAAATTTCAAATTATTATTAATTTTAATATTTTCTTTTACTAAATCTTTTGATTCATTATTAATAGAATTATTAGAATTATTAGTAATTTTTTTTTTTACTAAAGAAAATTTAGAATAAATTTTATTAAAATTTAATAAAATATTTTTTTTCCATTTTTTTTTTAATTCTTTACGAATAGGTTTCCAAAACGAAGGTTTTTTTTTAATATCTCCGAATGGTGCATTTGTTTCAAAACCCCAAGCTGTTAAATAACTATACTTAATTTTTTTTTTTTTAATATTTGTAGAAAAATTATCATTCGTATTCATTAAATCGTTTAAATTTTTTTTTATATTTGTTTCAAGTTGAAGATTATGCCATGGTTTTAAAATAAAAGGATATATAATTTTTATTTGAAGACCATCTCTAAGCCATTGTTCTGGCAATGCTTTTTCTGAAACTTCAATACCATCATAAGTACATTTTATGTACATTTCTTTATTCCAATCATTCCAATCTTCACTCCATTCAGGAGTTTGAAATAATAATAAACGAATAATATTTTTAGATATTATTAATATAGGTAATATTAAATATTTTCTAAAATATGACTGAATAAGTAACAACCAACTTCTTCCCCATTGAGCTAAAGGAAAATCCCACCTATTTGCTATTGCAAGACGATCTGCTTTTGTTTTCTTTTTTAAAGTAACATTATTTTTAGTTGGAAAAAGCGCTATTTTTTTTTGTTTTTCTACAGGATTTTTAAAAATATGTTTAACGTCAATTAAATTTAATTTATTTAATGAAATTTGAAATGGAATATGTTTTTCATTTATTCTTAAAAAAAACGGAGAATGTGTTTTAAGTTGTAAAATTTTCCATATTAAAGTTTTACGTCTTCTAGAGCGCATAGAACCTTTTACTAATCTCCGACGAAAATCTGATTGTTGTGAAAAGCGTCTTACAATTTTTCTTCTTTTTTCTTTTCCTTTTATAAGATATCCTAAATTTTTTACTTTTCTTTGACGAATATCAGTAATTCCAATAGCTATAACATCAAATTTATCATTTCGTAATTTGGAAGTCCATCGTGGTAATTCTTTTGAAATTTCTTGAAGTGCAAATTTTTTATGAAAAGTAAATAATTTTTTTAATAACAAAATAAATTTGTTTAGTTGAGTAGAATTAATAGAATTAACTGACAATAAATTTTTCCAAGAACGTACTAATATTTGCCATTTTTCGTATTCTAATTCTTTAAAATAAACCGCTCTTTGTCGAGGAGATAAATTTAAAACAAGTTCCCAATTAAAATGAGATATTTTAGTAAATTTTTTATTTAAAAGATGCTTATTTTCTAATTTTTCAGTTAAATCAGAAATGTTAGTTTGTTTAGTTAAATTAATAAGTGCTTGTTCTTCGGAAAAATGAATTTGCTGTAATTTTCTTTTAAGTTTTTTATTTTTTGATCCTTGAATAAGTAAAACCAAACTGCGACGAGCATTTTTGTTTAGCGGTTCCCAAGGTAATGGTAAATTTTTTCGTCTTAATTCTCTCCAACGATTAGAAATCCAAATTTTAAGTTTATTTTCTTTTAAATATACTATTTTTCTATTTTTTTTTAATTTATAAGAATTCTCTTTTAAAAGCCAAGGTGATTTTGTTATTATGGCTTTTCCTCGGAACGATCCATTTAAAAAAGGATCGTTAATTTTTGTTAAATTAATTCCTTCATTATTAGATAAACTAGTTTTTTTTTCTATAACTTCTTTTATTACTAAACCATTATCTAAAGCTTGAATTCTATTTTCTAATTCATAAAGTAAATTATCTTTTCTTTCGTTTTTAGTATCAAGCCAATTCTTATATAAATTATTATTATTTGTGGAAATATTTAAATAAGTTTTTAAATCTTTTTCAAAAATGGATAAACTTGGTAAAGCTGTAAAAGATATTTTTTGTTTTCCATCGCTTAAAGATATATTAAAAAAATATTGAGAAACACTTTTTTTTACAGGACTTTTATTAGTAAATCGATTATTTTCAATATAGCGGAATGGGCGATTCCATCGATAATAGTCAAAAAAGAAAGTAGGCCAAGGTTTATTTAACCATAAAAAACCAGATTTATTAAATTGAAGTTCATCATTTAATTTTTTAGTAAAGAAAGGTACTGGAGCTCTGCCTAAATATAATAAAATACAAGCTAAAACAAAAATACTAAATGTTCGATAAATTATCCGTTTGACCAAAAGATAAAGTATAGGTGAATCTTTTTCTATTCGAATTAAAAGAAACTTAATACAATTAAAGAAAAAAAGATGACCACTTAACCAGCCAAAAAAGCAGCTTAAAACAAATAAAAAGTTATTACTGTAACGAAAAAAAAAAAGATTAATTAATCTGACTAATATAGGGCTTGGTAAAAGAACAGGGTTTAATAATTGAAAAATAAAACTATCAAAAAATATTTTATAAATTCGAGAGTCTTTAATTGAATTGATAGGGCGCAAAGATTGATAATCTAAAAGGTCTTTAATTCGATACCAATAAAATAAAAGATACGGTAGAACTAATAAAGTTACTGTATGGGGTTTTAATAAAAGTGTATAAAGAGGCGAATAATATATTGATAAAAATATTATTAATTGTCCTAAAATTAAACCACTTACAGCCACAGTACCACTAAGATTTCCTTCTAAAAGAAAAGCTCGTATAGATAAAATTTGAGAAGGGCCAATAGGCAGTGTTGTAAGAAATCCATAATATAGTCCAAATAAAATCAACGGACTTGAAATATTTATCCATGATAATATTGAAGCCCATAGTACAGAAAACTGTAAGGGAGTGTTTGTTATCATAATAAAATACTTTCTTCTTTAAAAGCATAGAAGTAGGATAAAATAAAAAAGTTAAATTACTTTTGGTAGATATAAAAAAAATAAAAGATTATGAAATTTAGTAAATTTTTTTTTATTAAATTTCATAATCTTTTATTTTTAATAATTTATTACAAATAAATATTTAATTAAATTTTATTTGTTTTTCTTTTTTTGTTAAATCGTTCCAACCTAAATTCTCTAAATTATTGTTACGTCGTAAAGGACGAGTAACAAGTTCAAGAACATCTCTTGCATTTGTGAAACCGTGAATTTGAGCAAAAGTAAATTCAACAGACCATTTTGTATTAATTCCTCTTGCTTCTAAAGGATTTGCATGAGCCATACCAGTAATTGCTAAATCAGGTTGTAATTCGCGCATACGTTGTATTTGATTATAATTATCAGGTTTTTCAACAATGCGTGGCATAGGTATACCCATACTTTTACAAGTATTTTGTAAAAACAGTAATTCAGCTGCTTGATATCGTTTATCTAAATATGGAATACCGATTTCATAAACAATCATTCCACAACGAATTAAAAATCTAGCTAAAGATATTTCTAAAAGATTATCTCCCATAAAAAATACAGATTTTCCTCGTACTAGATCTAAGTAATCTTTTAAATTTTCCCATATTTGTTGCTCTCTTTGTTCCAAATCTTTTGTTTTAATATTAAAAACGGAACAAATTTTTTCAATCCAAGCACGTGTTCCATCAGGGCCAATAGGGAAAGGTGCTCCTATTAGTTTACATTTACGACGTCTCATTAAAGTAGTAGCTGTACGACTTAAAAATGGATTAACACCACATACATAAACTTGATCTCCTAATGACGGAAGATCTGTATATCTTTGGGCTGGTAACCAACCAGAAACTTGAACAGATTGACGTTTTAATTCTGAACTAAGTTGAGAAGCTACAGTAGAAGGTAAAGAACCAAAAAGAACTAATGGAGGGTGCTTTTTTGATTTTATTGAAGAGTTATTTCTTGTTTCTTCTTTTTTTTCAAGAGAAAGGAAAGAAAAAAAGTCTTGAATAGTTGAATCTTGTTGTATAACTTTTTTGTTATCAAGTAATGTATTTTGTTCTGGACAACGATGTGCCATAGCAGCTAAAACAGTATCCTCTCCTTGAGTAAATGCATAATCCAATCCGTTTGCTCTTGCAACAACAATTGGTATACCCAGTTCATTTTCTAATTTAGGTGCCATGCCCTCTAAATCCATTTTTATTATTTCTGTAGTACAAGTACCAATCCAGATAATAACACTTGGATTTCGATCTTTTTTTATCTGAAGACAAAGTCTTTTTAATTCTTTGTAATCATTTAATTGAGCTGAAATATCTCCTTCTTCTAATTCTGCCATAGCATAGCGAGGTTCTGCAAAAATCATAACTCCTAACGCATTTTGTAAAAAATAACCACATGTTTTTGTACCGACTACTAAAAAAAAGCTATCTTCAATTTTTTGATATAGCCACGCTACACAACTAATAGGACAAAAAGTGTGATAATTACCTGTTTCGCATTCAAAAGTGAGAGTTTCAGATATTTTATTTGACATAGATATAATTCCTTAACTAATAAACTAAATAAATGAAATTTTAAATCATAACCATGTAAAATCGGCTGAATTTTCTTTATCTTCTTTTTTATTTTCTTTTTTATCTTTAGTTTTATCAACAGGATTTAAATAAAAATCAGATAATAAACTAAATAATTCTCTATCTGGAACTTCTTTTGGTACAATTCCTTCTGGTTGTGATAAAATCTGATCAGCTATGTTTAAATAA